TCACTAGTACTAAAAAATGTCTGGCTTTAATGATAATTACTACGTTTAAGTTATTTTATATGATTTATGTAATTATATGATTTATATTATTATTAATCCATTACACACAAGCAATTTTAGTTTAACAGTTATTATAAATCATTTATTTTAAATGAATGTTAATATATACAGATCGTATGTAATATAAATAAGCTGTAGAATCAATAGATAATGCTTTAAAAATGACTACGTGACCTTACATGTTCGTGTCTCTATCGCTGTATTTAACAAGTTTCACTTGTGACTGTACTGATAAAGCAAGATCATTCCTTTTATTTGTCCTCTTTCATGAACAAGTACTTTTTTCATTGTAAATGCATTTAAATTAATCATATTCTTCAATCTCTTAACTTTTAGCAAAACCTTTAACCTTTAACCAAGGCTCATGATTGGCTGTTCGCCAGGGATGTCACACATTCATGTGCACGTGCTCCACAAACTCAGGATCAAAGCCTGAGTTGACAAAGAAAGTTGCATCATGGTACCAACAAAGCCGGATTGAAGTGGTTTGATTTTGTCAACTCGAAACTCTGTAACTCTGAATCTACCATCATGGTACAGGCCCCTGGGTGTAATTGTGAAAGACGTCATGAATGTGTGTTTGCTGTGATGTGTACTACTAGGGTCAGCAGAGGACACACATCTGAGGAGACATCACACATGAAAATCATGCCACTGCTTTAATTAGCATGCTGTGCTACTGCTAAAGATATTTCATATTAGGGCTGCACAATTAATCGAATTTCTAATCGCGACAACAATTATGGATGCCACAATTACAGAATCGTTCAAAGCGGCAATTAATCGTTCAAAGTCCACTTTATTCTGCGTGCTTAAGATGCGTTTTTTTCTTTCTACATGTTATCTTAAGGGTTTTTTCATTGTTTTGGGTTTAGTTTTAGTATAACATTATAATACCATTCATATTTTTACTTTTTTTATAATTTAAAGAAGAAACCAATCCGATGTATATTTGACATTTGAAGGCTTAATACTATAGAAAAGCACTAAAGGTTTTTCAGTTTTGAAAACAGAGTGTTTTCAGCTTGTTTATTTTCATATAAAAATATGGCATGCAGTTGCATCAAACAATGGAATAAACATAATTCAATGTAAATTGTGATAATCGTAATTAATAATCGCAATTACAATTTCAAGGGAATAATCGACAATTATGATTTTTGTCATAATCGTGCAGCCCTATTTCATATTAAAAGGATGTCCCAGATTATGGCCAATACTGACAAGTATATAATTACTTTTATTTTGGCCAATAATCAATAAAAGCCAAATATTAAATTATATTAAAATACAATTTTGTCTAAATGTATTCAAAATAAAACACACACACACACACAAATAAATAAATAAATAAATAAATAATTTTAAATGCTTCAAGTAAATTTAGGCATCACGACATTGTAATGTGAATTATAAAAACTGGATATTACATTTAAGTGTTTTTTAATTATTAGTGTTTATAAACATTAACTTCAAGTTAAGAGTGTTAGATGATGGCAAAAACAATAAAAAAAATCTAAAAAATATATGAAATTATATTACATACTTAATTGTAAAAGTATAGGAAATGAGCATTCACATTTTTACACTATAAAATATAATCTTTATTAAAATTTGAAAATGAATACCAGTTTTTCATTTTTTACATTATAATGCGGTGATGCCTAAATTCACTTGTAGTATTTAAAATGATTGATCTAATTTTTTTTAAATATATAATTTGATATTAGATATTTAATTGTTAATGCTTAACCGATATATTAAAATTAATAATAATTTAAAAATCATTTTTTTTTAAACAAGTTAATTTAGACATTAAAACAATAATATGCAGTATTAAAAATGGATATTATTTTTTTCAGATTTGATAATGATTACATTTACAAACATTATTAAATTATTAATGTTTATAAAGATTAACTTAAGTTTTATAGACTACGACAAATGCCAATCTAAATGTAAAAATAGAGGAAATATCGAATATCAACTGATAAATCAAAAAAGTAAAATAAAAAAAATAAACAAAAAAATTAATCGAGAAAAAAAATAAAGATGTCATGTTTATTTACATCTTAACTAAAAACAGGTTACAAGCATTACATTATGAGGCATTAAGGACTTAAAATCCAGATGCACCCTTAAAACCTATCCTGCATCACACCATGGCTTCACCATTTCAAAAAAGTGTTTCTCTTAACACACCAGATTGCATAACACATCCACATATCCAAAAGTAAAAATACATTTTTCATAGGCTTCAAACCACCAACAGAACAACACCTTCTCCTTGAGAAATGAAAGCATGCTGGTACACGCTGACACAAGACAAACTTTCCTGCATGTCTCAGAGTCTAAGAATCACTCACCTCCCTGCATTTATACACCCTCGAGATGAAATAAAAATTAAGACCTGGCCAGATCTTACAAAAGAGAAGACTGGTCAATCATATACACCCAAATCTCAGCGATTTATCTTGATAATACGTCTCAATTTATTCAAACAAACATCTACGGTTTTGCCACTTAACATTTTTCTCTACTAAAAAACCGAACAAATGGTTTTAGGCAGTGCTTAGATCTTCTTTGCAGTAATTCAGTCACCCTCATCACCGAACAGACAGCACATGTGTCAAATCAGTTCCTGGGAAAGTTCCAGGTCTGAGAAGATACAGACACAAACCCAGGTGGCCAGAAGCATTACCCTGCATGCTAAAGATATGTACCCCTTCAAAATTTATGATAGATTAATACAATATTTTGACCAGATTTTTGGCCATTTTGAGGTTACCGGCTTTCCAAAATCTACTGACAACCTTGTTGATGGATAGTAAACATTTTATGTTTTCAACTGTGTTTTCAATTTACATTTTAAGTAAATCTTTTCTGCTATTATTTAAATAATGCTTAATAAAGTGCATAATAAATAAAGTTTATTTAAATAAAAATGTGACCCTGGACCACAAAACCAGTCTTAAGTCGCTGGGGTATATTTGTAGCAATAGCCAAAAATACATTGTATGGGTCAAAATTATTGATTTTTCTTTTATGCCAAAAATCATTAGGATATTAAGTAAAGATCATGTTCCATTAAGATATTTTGTACATTTCCTACTGTAAATATATTAAAACGTAATTTTTGATTAGTAATAGTCATTGCTAAGAACTTCATTTGGACAACTTTAAATGACTGGTTTTGTGGTCCAGGGTCACAAATAAGTAATATAAATAATACACAAATTAATTTAAAAATACAATTAAAATAAATAAATATGTGATCTGTCATCAGTCACCCTGCTAGATATAGATTTCGGTATTTGTTCATTTAAAGAAAAAATGCTAGTCAAACATGTTTGTTTGTGTATGAGTTCACACCAGGTCAGCTTGACATTACAGTAATCCTTCTATGTCAGAAAGACCTCAATTCCAGCTTCCTGACACAAGCAGCCCAGTCAAACCCTGACAAACACAGATACAGGATTGATCCAGCAGACTGAACATATAGACCTAATGTTGCAACTGAAGAAACCTGCTGAGATCCACACAACCGAGAAAGCAAGAAAGCAATTCCTCAGCATGGTTATCAAATCACTGTTGGTCTATTCTATTGACAAAATTCACAGCAAAACGTGTGATATGTCATGTGATTAGACATGGGGGCACAAAACAACCACAGGCTTCCATAAACAAGGATCAACAACACAAAACAGTACTGAACCAAAGCACTGATGTGCGAGACACCTGTTGGATCACTAGATATATGATTGATATCTCTAATATTCATAACACATGAACACCCCTAACATCCATATGAATAAAAGAGGATGTCGGGTTTTATTTTGCACTGTAATTTACAACCAGCATCAACAAAAAGGTCCACATTTCAGACAAATACGTTTAATCACAAATTATTTTTAATTATATATAAATAAATATTCCATGCATAGTCCATGCAATTAATGAGCTAATGAAAACTGAATTGTAAAAAACATCACATTATGAAGGAATAAGAGTTACATTTAACATCAATATTTAATATTACAGTAAAAATAAGTATAATAATATATAAATATATATTATGCTATATTAAACACTGTGGTTAAAAATAAGGGAGGGGCTCTTGGATCCTTCACAGAGGAGCCAATCAAATTATTCTAAACGAGAATCAGTCGGGAACAACACTTGATTGAACTACCTGCAGGGTCCTATAACAACATCATCTGCTTTTAAACAAAACTGTTGTGTTTGAGGGTTTGTTTTGTTCAATAATAAACAACTTCTCCGTTTGGAGTTCGGGTAAATATTTCCCCAGCGGGGAGATACTTTGTGTTTGTTCTAAAGAAGAGATATTTTGTAACCGATACATATTTTCCTGCTGACGTCACAGAGAGTGAGGAGATACTTTGTAACAATTCGCGGATATTTAGTAACCGCCTTGCGGACGCTTTAAATCTGTTCTACGTGGGAAATAAGCAAAGAAATCAGGAATGAAAGTCTGAAATGCACATGTAGTCACAGGGCTTCCACTAGAAGAAGCTTGACACCGCCTGGGCTGAAGCTTTGGACGGATTCGCAGCGGTTTTTACCACACAATAGTGTCCAGATTGTCTCACTATAGCCGTTTATGTCGAATCATAAACTCGCCACTGGAACGAGACACCTCTCTAACACGGAATATGTGTGTATTTTTTTTTCTTTTTCCCCTCCTCCTGTTCCTCCATTGCTTGCTGGCGCAACAGCGTTTCATTTGAACAGTCTCTAGTGCGCATATTATGAAATATCAGTTTTATTTACCTTCCCTCTAGTTTGTCTGGGCGCATACTAACGTATATAGACCGTTAGTGTGCAGTAAACAGATATATCTCCACATACACTATCAATGGGCTGTGTCCGAGCAGTTCAGACTCTTCAGCTGAGGAAAATCACTTTCAAAAGCTCCTTACCTTCTTCCACAAGAGGTTAGTCCGGTTTGGTGAGATGGCTGTGCCTGTATCTATTGTTGTAGACGGGCCGTTATCACTTTGAGAGCTGATAACGGCGGGGAAAGCCCTGTTTTAGAGTACTTCTGTCGTTTTCTTCCTCTCTTTGCCAGAGCTACGAGCCAGGGCGCTTCAAGTGACGTAACGAACCGGGATGCGCGCGCCCGACACTGGCCTCCATGACCGCCGTGACGTGCACGAGCGCTTCTGCACCTCTTATTTGAGGTGGCACCACATAGAGAGGATATATATATATACACACACATATTTTGTATATAAAATATGTATATTATATATTTGTATATATATATCATATTTATATTTTATACATTTATATTTATGCTTGCATTTTTTTTTTCAAGAAATAGTTGATCTCTTATACAAGTGAGTTCACATAAATAATTATATTTATTTTTTTACATTTTATTTATATTTGTTTGATTAGTGACCTGTAGTCCAGAATATGAATTATTTCTAATAATTTTTTCAGCCAAATTGCATATATACAGTATATATATATTTTTATTTTTTTCAATAAATATTTGATCTTTTATGCAAGTGAGTTAACATATATATTTATATTTATTTTTTATATTTATTTTTTTATATTTGATTGATTAGTGACCTGTAGTGTAGTTTAGTGATAATTTTTATCAGCTGAACTGCATATATATATATATATATATACACACACACACACACACACACACAATTTATACTTCAGTTTATACTTCAGTAACAAAGAAAAAAATATTTTTTTATTTCTTGACATGACAACTATATTTATTATTTTCAATTTTTATTTCTATGATACCATTACTATTCTGTGATACCATAATATAATAATATTACAAATAATTTGATAGTGCTGAAGATTTCTTTTACTCTTAAACTCATTCACTCTTTTAATCCTTTCAATCCTTAACAGTTACAATAATTATATTAGTGACTTGCTGGGGATGTTTTTCATTTTGACAGTTGTTGTGGAATAAAAGAATCTGGTAATGATTAAATGTAAATGTCAACAGACTAAACAACATCCATTCTGTTCAGATTTACCCATCATCACATCTTCAGATATTCTCTATATGTTGAGCACTGGAGACTGGCGCTGTATACCAACACGATGGAGACCTCCTCCAGCATTGGTCTTCTGGGTGTAATTTGGGGTTTGAATGATATCACTTGCTTGTGTAACTGAAGCATGACTGCAGGAAAAGGACTCACAGACCCAAACCGTATTGATCAGGTTCAGGGTGTTCAGTTCCCTTAAACAAGAACATTTCATAAAATTAGGCTCTAGTCTCATTGCTTTAACTATGTGCTTATCAGATCAGCTTTGTAAGGAAGTTACATCATCATTCTTACTGAAAGCATTTTCAAACCAATTCCATTTGCATCCCATTAATACCTGAAATATATTTTCTGGTGTTGATCTGTTATTATTATTATTAATGCTTTAGTTACTGTAGGTAAATCCACAAGTCTAATTTAATTTACATTTAAAACTTGAAAGGAATTTATGTTTTTTTTTTTCATTACTTATTTCCATTTGTCTGTTTCTATGACACATATATATAGTCCACTAGAGGTCAGTAGAGATCTTCCTTTAGGTCAAGCAACCCACGTGATCGTTGTGTACTGTATAGCACACACACACTCTCTCTCTCTCTCTCTCTCTCACACACACACACACATACACACACACACACACACGTTTTATGGGGACAAAGACATTTTTTACAGAAAAAGTGCCAGAGATCATTCAATACATTAAACTGGATAGTAAACAGTTAAGTATTTTATAATAAACGTTTATGAATAGTTGGTACAGTATGAAGTGTAGAACACATATTAGATGATGAATTTGTGTTATTTGATTATAGTTTTGCCTCTAGGTAATATAAATCATTAGACAGTCTATGATAAATGTATGTTGTAGACCCTTTAATATAATGCCCTCTGTAGAAATAAATACATTTTTAAAAAGACCATAAAATAACTATGTGTCTTCTATAGTAGAACAAATATCAAAGCCAGAAGGAAGTCTTTCATGATTGGACCGGCCTGAAGAATGACCATTACTGAGACCCTAAAACCAAACAACATAAAAGAAACAGTCAGTTTGTTCATTATACTGTGGCATGCATATTCAGCATTGATTTTTATTTTCTGTATCACCTGTATCTTACAGACAGTTTACTGCTTAGGATAGAGACCTGTCTTCTGCACTCCAAAAGCGGTGATGAAGATGTTGATGATGACGGTGAGGAACACCAGCACAGTGGCCACATTGTTTATTATGTCCAGCTTCCTCTGATTGGCCACGTCATTGAGGTTTTTGCGTGCTGAGAAGGGAAGATTGTATGAAAAGAAATAATTAAATATAAAACATCCTTACAGGTATTGTGCATAATGCACGATGGATTTCACTCTCACCCATGTGGACAAAGAGAACCCCTGCGAGCACTTGGAAGAAGAGAGACGCGGCGATGAGGACGATGACAGTGAGGTAGTACTTGAACTCGGGGCCCTGCTCCAGGACGGCTTTCAGCTGAGAGGCGTTTGCCATCAGCAGCGCCACATCCAGCAGGCTCTCTGCCACACTCTTCTTAGTGGCATAATGATTCATGTTGAGAGGTTCTGCAGGCTGAGAGAAAGAAATCATTTCAAGTCATACATTCATATTTAATCAAATCAAATTAAATTAAAATTTTAATTAAATTTAATATTTTTCTGCTATTGTAATTAGCATTAAATTGCATTAAATGCACCTTTTATGGTATATATATGTGTAGCTTCTGTTGGCACATGTGGCAAAGTAATGTGATGCATCTGTTGGGTCTAACGTATAAAAGAATATTTTCAGACTCATGCATACTTATTTCAGATGCATTAATTCACCAACAGTGTGCTAGAATATTTTCAGTGGAGGAAAACAAGAGGCCATCTGCCCTCATCTTTAGAAGAAATATCAGTGGTTTCCAGCATCATCTGTACTCTGTCAGATAAGATCCTTCAAAGCCAGGGAGAAGTTCTCAGTGCAAATGGAAAAAAAAGCTAAATGAACCCATTTAAATGTCAAAACTACTGAGAAGATTTTTTTCTATAATTAATCCTACTTTTTCTTCCACTCTCTCTGTTCCAATCAGGACAAACACTCCAACCAAATATTTTTAATAAAAAAAAAAAAAACACATTTTAACATTTTCTACACACATAAATAATTTCATGCGCAAAAATATTAAAAAGTTTAAAATACCTATTTATATCATTTACATAAAATACATAAAAACCTTTAAACGGAATATTAAACGGAATATTAATATTGTAATTTAATTAATGCTTGTAATGTAAATATAACTGTATAAAAAGTCTTCTACATGAATGTTTGATGTTGGCAATTGGCCAACATAATATTTATGGCTTCTTTTTGAAATGCACTACAAAACAATATGAATATTTGATGAAGTTTGTCATGATAAATTAATGCACCGACGTATGTAGAAATTAAGTACTGAAACTGACAACCTAAATTACCCATATCTACCAATAGATGGGAGCATTTCACTATTAATTTTTCAATCTGCAACTTTCTTTTTATAGAAACCACCTGGGGGCGCTAGATGTCCTTTTACATAATCATCTTTGTAATGTTTTTACATTATTATTATTATTATTGCTGTTGTTGCTTTTGTTGATGTCGTTAATGTTGTTGTGTTTTTTTATAAAAATAATTACTAAAAATAATAATTATAAAAATATAAAAAATATAAAAAATATTTTTTAAATGTTAATAACTTAAGAAATATGTAACATTATGAAAAAATAAATATATATTTTCCAATACATCGCCTGAAAATTAGTACATTACAGTAATAAGACTAATATGTAGTCTACTTGGTGCCAAATATATAAACAGTAATGTAACATGTCGATTTTTGGTTCTCAACCACAATGCATCCAAATCCTTTTTTGCAGATATATTTCTTATCTATCCAGAGCCCTTGAAACCTTTCTACTAAATCTCAAAATCAATCCAATACTTTTGCTTCATTTCCTGTGTTTCATGATTCTTCTTTTTGATCTTGGTTCACCTAACATGCCCTTATCACCATCTACAGGACCTGTTAGAGACATGTAGGTTGAGAGAGATCGCATCTATATACATGTGACCCTACAGATAGAAGATCAATGGAGCCCAAGACCCAACACTCGCCCACACCAGCAGACGTCTTATCTACATCAGAACACAGTGTCTGCTGTCATTCACACTGTCCCGCCCCTTCCAAACATACATGTTTCATACATGTGATGTGACATAAGAAGAGCCTGTTTTGCAAAAAAAAACTGAATCCTCTCCACCAATCACGGCGCAGTAAAACTAAGACCAGGCAAGCATCCAAATAGCACACGCACAGGCTCACTGTTTTCCTTAATGATGGGGAACGCTTTCCTTTTTTCTTTTTAAAATAAACACCATGGGAGAGGTCAGGAATATTTTACATGTGGGGCCCGTGTCGCTGGCCCACAGGAAGTCCACCTCCCCACCCACTCATTGGCTGCTCTCACGTCCAATAGCAAATGGGAACGGGCGAGGAGGGTGCACTTAAATGAATAACTGTTTTTGCTCCATTTTCTTTTTACTCCTCTTTTCTGGGCAAACCACATCCCACAACACGTGCAGATACAGAGGAGGAGGGTCCATGTAAACATTCAAACCCCCTATACTGCTCTGAAAACACCTCGTTCACCACAGAAAAGAGAAAAACACTCACTCTCACACACACACACACACACACACACACACATACACGCATGTTGGGTTTCCATGCTTTATGGCATTCCATAGGCGTAATGGTTTTTATACAAACTGTATTTTCTATCACCCTACACCTAAACCTACCCTCTCACAAAAATCTTTTTGCATTTTTAGATTTTCAAAAAACTTAATTCTGTATGGTTTATAAGCTTGTTTCTTCATGGGGACCAAAAAATGTCCCCACAAAGACAAGGATTTTGGATATTGCCATCTTTGTGGCCCATAACGTATGGTTTACCAGGACCACACACACACACACACACTTAAGTAAATAATAATTAAATATTATTTTCCAAAAAAAAGAAAAATCCTGTAAATGACACGTAAGACATTTATTTTATTCTGTTATATTTCATTTAAAGTTTTTCTGTTAACTGTTAAACTGTGGTAAAAAAAATAAAATACAGCTATAATTAACAAAATTTACAATAATATTTTGCACGTTATGATCCTAGTGTTAAACATCTAATATTTTATGATGGATTTACAATGTGTTAAAATTGAAAGTAAAACAATAAAATATATACATGAACGCATTTGAAAAAATAAGACAAATAAATGTTTTATTCTGCATAAAAAAAGAAAACCAATTTGATAAGATTTTAGTTTTATATTTTATTAATTTCACTTCAATTGTAATTAAAATGTCAGAACTTTTGTTGTATTTTTGTCATTTTTATTAGTTTTTGGGGTGTTTTTTAAAGACAATATGTTTCTGCATTATGTATAGTAAAAAAAAAAATCTGTAAAAATATTTTTTTATTATTAGTTTTAATTTATTTAGTTTTGCTTAGTTTAGCACTTTAACCTAAAATGAATACAAATTTGAAGTGTTGCCTTGGCAGGTAGCTGAAATGAACTATATTTTTTATTTTATATTTTATTATATCTCAAGTAATGTAAATGCTTTTTTTAATGGTTTCAGAAAATAACCCTGGTGCATACATTTTGTCTTATGCAATGGAACCACATAGAAACA